AGGTGTGTTATATTATAAAATGATAATCATCACAAAGACTCTGGTCCATGGTCCAACTCTAAGGCCATTTTTATGACACCACCTCAAAGCACTAAGGTCACTGCAATGAAGAAAGATAGGTGGTAGGCATGTGCAGCAAAACTAGTTAAAGTCCAAGGAACAAATGAGCTGTACTTGGAGATTTCTACAGTATAAGGATAAACCGTGCACCCATGGTAACCTGTGCTGGTAAAAAGAAATGAAGGGAAATAACTTGTCATCTTAATTGCTACTACAAAGATATTTATTATTATTATTATTATTATTATTATTTCATAAAACCTTGAAACATATTAAATGTCACAATACATTTTTCAAAACTTTGGTATAAAACACAGAATTAAATGCCTAAGTCTACACACACAAGTATACTTCCTCGGGTCTAAAGCCAGGATTGTTTTGATAGCACAGAATCAACCACATAGCTAATATTAACTTTCTCTAATATAATTATGCCTTACTTATAGACAGGATAAAAGGATACCCACCATACAGTTTTTAAACTTTGGCTTTGTTTTTTCACTTTGAGATACAACTGCTTTCTTCAGTCAACCAGACGGGCAGAAGACAGGGTACCAGATTTTGGTAATCAACCCAAATCACAACTCCTCCCTCTCAAATCTGAAAATGGTATATAGGCTTCAAGAAAAAGACTTCATGGGGTGTTTGTTTGCTTTATCCTCCTGAGATTTTAACAGTCCATCTTTCTATTGAATGAAGGGAAACTTAAGGAATTTATTTACTTATCCTTGAGGTTGAGAGATTAGTAACAGAGAACAAGGTCTTTACAGAGGAAAGGGCAATAGTTCTGCAGTGAGAAGACCCACACTTGAGAGTTAGTGCTGAAACTAACTTTAACATCACCTTTTTTGAGATACGCTCTTGGAGGGTGACTTGGTTGTAACATCTGTCATCCCTTTGAACTGAACTGATGTGGCCCATGTGTGCCCTCCTGAAGCTGTACACTGGGTTAAAGAGGACCACTTTCTCCAATAGAGAACTGTTCTTCAGTTAAGGACTTAGGGATGGCTGAAGACTCCTGCTAGAACACCCAGATGAGCTCTCAGGGTGGGGTTTCACTCTGTAACCCAGGCTAACCTCAAACTTGCAATAATAATCTGTTTCAGTTTCCCAAATGCTGGAATTACAGGTGTGAACCAGCATGCCCAGTTCAAAATGAATTTATCTTATGGGTGTCATTGAACCTTGCCGAGTTCTCAGTTTAGTCATCACTTTCCTACTCAGTTTGGGGGCTGTTGTCATCCATCTGCCTCACAGAGTTGACTGGTGTCAGTCATCAGACACCATGTATCTGAACGTGTTACAAAGGAAGAGGTGAGATATGGTAGGATGGGAAAACTTGACTTTCAAGCATACCCTTTGAGAGTTTGGTGTATGTACTCTTAGAAGTCTGTGACACCGTTCTAGATTATCATAAGAATTTTTACACATATAAAATAGAAATATCCAATATTTTATAAATTATCAGTTCTTGGTATTGGGCTGAGGGTTCCTTAATGTAAATTTCTACCATCTACGTAACATGATTATGACTTTCTCTCTCTCTCTCTCTCTCTCTCTCTCTCTCTTTCTTTCTGTGTGTATTTTTGGAACCTGTCCTGGAACCCATTCTGTACGTGGTGTTGGGCTGAGGGTTCCTTAATGTTAATTTCTACCATCTACGTAACATGATTATGACTTTCTCTCTTTCTCTCTTTCTGTGTGTAGCTTTGGAGCCTGTCCTGGAACTCACTCTGTAGTCCAGGCTGGCCTCGAACTCATAGAGATTCACTTGCTTCTGCCTCCCAAGTGCTGGGATTAAAGGCGTGCGCCACCACCACCTCAATTATGACTTTCTTAGTAAGAAGGCATAACCAGCCCTACATGGTGGTACATGCCTTTGATCCCAGCACTCGGGAGGCAGAAGCAGGCAGATGTCTATGAGTTCAAGACAGCCAGGACTACAAAAAAACAATAACAAAACTCCAATTTCCAAACTCCTTGCTAGATTGCTGAGGACTCAAATTCTTGGTCCCTCTCCATCATCCTCATCCATTCTTCTGTACATCTATGATCTAGCCAAAATTAGCATCCCCTTTGTTCTCTTCCTCAGAAACAGAACCTCAAATTTAGCTAAACATAAGGCCATGAAATGATCTTCCCTAGCTTTTCTTATAAGTGTGGCCCCTGGACTAAGTTTGAGCCTGCGGGAAATAAGCTCTACCTAAGAGAACAGCAAGGTCATGCCCTTCCCTTTTCTTCTTCCTTCTTGTTGGGAAGTGGAAAGTAAGGGAAAAAATAAACTGAGTCACTAAACGAAAAGTGCCTATAGGGTGTGCAGTATAAGAAGGACACAGCCAGGTCCCTAGTAATTTTGAAATACCACATCAGCCTTGATAGCCTACCTGGATTTTTACATAAGAAAGCAGTTTTCTAGTTCCAGGACAGGCTCCAAAGCAACACAGAGAAACCCTGTCTTGATGCACACTGGTAGTCTCAGAATTCAAGAAATTGAAGAAGGAGGATTAAAATGAGCTCAAAGCCACTTTGGCTTACACAGTGAGTTCTAGGCCAGTAGTGGCTATAATGAGACCCTGACTCAAAATCAAAGCAAAACAAAACATTTTTGTTTAAACTACCAATACAGAGAGCTGGAAGGATGGCTCCACAGTTAAGAGCATTGAGTACTCTTTCGGAGGAATCAGGTTCGATTCCTAGCACCCACAAGACAGCTCACAAACCTCCATAACTCCAGTTCCAGGAGATTTTTGACAACCTCTCTGGCCTCTGCTGTCACCAGGCACTGGGGTATTGACATACATGCAGTCAAAACACTCATATATATAAAATAATAATTTAAACTGATACATTAGGCTTTGTCTCTGGGTTTTTAAAAAAGATTTGTTATTGTGTGTGTGTGTGTGTGCGCACGCGTGCACATATGTGTACCTGTGTGGAGGTAACCTTGGAGGCTCCCCTGGAGCCGGTTACAAGGCAGCAAATGTTTCAGTGCTCTGAAAGAGTAGCAGCTTTTTCTAGCTTAACAGATCACTCAGTACTATTAGATTCTTCATTTAGTAGACATCCCAAGGTGTAATTACTTCTCAGCCTGCAAGCATTGCTCCCTCTTCCTGTTCCTTGACTTCTTGCACTTTCAAATCTCCACTGAAATGTGATCTTTGTTAGGACCCTCCAACTTGAGATGTAAGATGAGTTAAATACACTTCCTATTTATTCTTTATGCTTTCTCTTGGTTGACAGTCGCCACACCTTTAACTGATAAATTAGTATCTAACTATTCTACTATACTAAATACTCTCTAGATGCACCTATCTGCTTTTTAAACCATTAGCTAGAGGGCTGGTGTTCAGTTAGGCCCTGAAAAAAAGAATAATGCCGGTTACAACCCTTGAGGGATTTTTCTAGGGTAGCTATGTGGTTTCCTGGCCTTCTATTACATGATCTCTATAAACCTCATGGACAGTTCTGCTCCTATCAGACATTCTCACAGTATAAAAGCTGTTTCTCTTCATTTGCCTTTAAACAAGCCTGAAAAGTGTCAATTCTTCATCAAATCTACATAAGTCTTTCTACCAAGCCTTCATATTCTCATAAAAGATGTGTTTTGAGTGAAAGTATTATGAATATTCTAGGATTTTTTTTTTTACTTGCCTACCTCAGCCTCTCAAGTGCTAGAATCATGTATGTGTGCTTACCATGAACAGCTTGGGAATTTTATTTTAATGGAGACATTTCACTAACTGACTGTATGTGTATGTATATAATATGAATGCATACATGTTCTGCACTTTTGAGACAGTGCTACTCTATGTAGCCCAGGTTGTACTCAAACTGACTGCGTAGCCAAAGATGACCTTGATTTGATCCTCCTGCCATTACCTTTCAATTTCTGGTATTACAGGTTTGTGGCACCATATTTTGAGAGTTAGAATGCATTAAAGGCAGTTTTTAGAGGAAAACTTACAAAATATATTATGTAAACATTTTCATCATTTGTAGGCAACATCCTTGAAATATTTCAAAAGTCTCTGTTTGAGGGCAAACAGAATTTTATAATGATGCTACATGTGATGGTTGGTTTCTTGCTCTACAAACTAACCATTCAATGACTGACGATTTTACATGGCTTACTCACTTAAAAACCTTTTTGTTCTAACATTGTGGACTTAATAAGGCTTCAACGAACAGGGTAATAGGAACATAAGAGGAAAAAAAGAGGTTTGTATGATGGTCTCAACTTTGCCAATGAAATGATTTACAGGGTAATTCTGGGTCAGTCTTTTCCAAATCCTAAACCGAAGGGTTCAGTACAGATATGGGGAGAAACTGCACACGTACAAGAAATATAATGCTTCTCTGTCAACTTTAGGTCTCATAAGGGTTTAAATGAGTCTGTAAGAAGTTCTTCAACAATCTAAAATCAAGTGTGTACTTGGAGAAAGTAGTATTTTATAGACGAGGATGGCTCATAGAGTCTTTTCAGTGTATCGATACCCTCCTTCAAGACTGGACTCAGATTGTTCTCTGAAAGATCTGTACAAGCCAGTAAAACAAATGGTTTTTAAGGCCACTCCCTTGATCTTTGCACATCCTTTCTCGTAATTGTCTTATACCCTGATAACCTCCAGCAAACAACTAAGCCTGTCTGTCAACGGCACAAATGTCGGCCTACCACAAGCAGAGACATTTCTGCTCGTTCCTCTTTTTGGAGCAAAGCCAACGTAGCCTGGACTTTCCACACCTCTAGTAAAGGTGAGAGACGTAGCAAAAGGCCAGAGTGATGCACTCCGAATGGGTTCGGGCAACCCCATGCTTCCATTCTAAGAACCTGAGGACCCAGTGACTTCCTGGCTGGCCTCCGCAAAGCAACCGCCCACCTCTTCACGACCTTATCGGCGACCACCCTGCCCCCAAGCCATCATTCGCCAGTCCACCCTGACCTCTTCAAACTGCTCGCCGGAACAGCCAGCGCCGCGAGCTTCCAGCAACTCCCGGAACTGCTCCAGGGTGACAGATTCTTCACCGCGGCCCAGCCGCTCTTCCAGCCAGCGCAACAGCGCGCCGTGGTGCCTCGACACCAGCGATTCGCAGGGAGGTGCGGGCCGCAACGCAGCCGCAGCCTCTCGAAGCCGGGCGGGCTCCAGTAGTGCAGCGGCGGGAGGCAGTGCCGCGGCCGCGGGGCCGGGACCGGGGGTCGTGCCGGAGTCGGCAGCCCAGTCCTGATGTGGGCTCCAGCCCTCAGCCCCGGCAGCCGCCGCTTCGTCTTCGCTGCTGTTACTCGGAGCGTTCCCCATGGGGCCTCCGTCTTGGGTGCTCGGAGGTGCTGCCGCCGCCGCCTCCCAGCCACGACCTGTCAACCTCCGACAGCCCCAGGCGGGCGGGGACGGGGTGGGGACGACGGCGGCGGCAGCGACTTCCGGCTTCCTGGCCGTCGAGCGAGGCCTGATGTCGCAACGGAGCCGTCAAGCGGATTCTGCCATCTCACGACAGCTAGGTGAGGCCTTAGAGCACGCCTGCTATGGATTAGTCAACGTCTAGTCTCCTTTGCCGCCATCTTTGTTGAGGGCGAATAACTTGTACGCCAAGGCGGTCTTTCAGTGCAGTTCCACTTTCTTCTCCACGGTTCAGGTTCTCAAGCTATGTTGGGAAAAAAGGACGAAAAAGAGTCGGAGCCGAGAAGTGAATTTTACTCTGAAGCTTGTGGAGCGTCGCGCTGTGACGTCACGGCCGGCGTCTCCGCCATCTTAGTTGTGGTTAAATAGGTGGCCACTTCGGAAGCGGCTGCTTGTGTGCTGCCGGTTAGATGCTCAGGCTATGTGGGCTTGGCGTGGTGCTGAGCCTGGTCGCGGCGGCGGCGGCGGTCATGGCCGTGTGGTTGATGGACTGGTGGGGTCTAGAGGGTCCCCCCTCTGGCCTTCGCCTCTTCGTACCCGAGGAGCTAGCCCGCTATCGCGGTGGCCCAGGGGACCCGGGTCTGTACTTGGCGTTGCTCGGCCGCGTCTACGACGTGTCCTCAGGCCGGAGGCACTACGAGCCTGGGGCACACTATAGCGGCTTCGCAGGTATCAGCGAGGCTCTCCCACCTTTTCTTCCTGCGTAAACGTCCTGCATTTATCCATTAGGTTATCCATCTGCGCTCGGGCACTATACATTCCTCAGACGGCTGCGGCGGCAAGGACACGGCTGCACGGTCCTGGTTTGCGGCTCGGCTAGTTACGTGCCCGCACGCTTTGTGTGACTGATTTAGAGAAAGATGTGTCTCGTTAGTTCCTGGGTACATTCATAAGTCTACCTGGACTGTAGAGCTCCCGTGCTTTCAGTCACTTTAGAGTGATCCGAAATAACCTTTGCTTCGCCCACCCCGGTTCCCCTAAAATGACAAACAGTATTTGGGTCGTTTTTGGTTCTAGTCCATACACTTGTCTGCTTTTTTTAAAAGATTATGAAAGGGGGGACGGGGAGAAATGAAGTTAGAGTACACTAATCCGTATAGTCTTTTTAATACCTACAGTAAGCCAGAAGTGGTGGTATTTTGTGGTCCTGGGTATTGGAGTGACTGAGACAGGAGGAGTCCTTGAGCTCGGAAGATTCGCTGAGCCAGGAATTTATGGCCAGGCTGGCTCAAAAACAAGACGAAACAAAACTTAGAATAAAATTGCGTATGTTAGCCCTCCTAAGAACATTTATCAAAATAATTTCATTCTGTGCCCTCCCTCCCTCCCTCCTTTTAACAATTGAGGGGTCTGAAAAATGTCATTTAGAAGATATGGGTGGAACTTCCAGCCTAATGTTTACATTTGTCTTTAAATTTTTTGTGTGAGTGTTTTACCTGCTTGTACATCACTGAGCCACCTGTGTGCCTGGTGCTCAGGGAGGCCAGAGGAGGCTTTCGAATCCCCTGGACCTGGAGGTGTAGATGGTTGTGATGTGCATTAAGGGTGCTGGGAGCCTGGGCCATCTGGGAGAGCAGCCGCTGCTCTTAACCACTGAGCCAGCTCTCCAGTGCCTAGTAATTTTAAAGATGTTGCTTTTCTAGCCAAAGAAACTTCCTCTCACTTTGTTTGGGGAAGAAAAATGCAGGGCAAGTCTAAGGGTTGATACAAATTTCAAGCTGTCCACTCATCATTTAGGAGAATTAGGAAGCTGCATTTAATTACAGATCACTCAGTTCCTTCTCTAGATGTCAAACAGCCCAGAAGAGCAAGGGACCTACCCAGGTCAGAGAGAGGTGGAAGCAAAGCTGGTCTGGAATCCAGGCCTGTTTTCCTTTTCTTCTTGCCAGTTGAGTGCACGTGCGGCCTCTGTCCTACCTCCATCTGACACCGCTGTCGTGGATGTATGCACAAGTGTTGGCATAACACTTCCACCTCTGGGATGATCCTTATACAGTATGTGCTAGTATCTGTTGAGTCCTGTGTATACAATATATGACCTCCATTTATTGACCACTACCATGGGTCCTACCTTGGCCAGGTGCTGAAGAATCCAAGATGTCTCTGACTGTCATACAGTCTATTAGGAAAGCAGACGTGTTCACTTATGCAGTCAGTATTTTTATTTTTGAGTTATAATTATCACAGAAACTTATTTTAAAGTGTACAAGTATAACATCACCATCTAATTTCACAACATTTTGCTCTTCCTCAAAGGAAACTACCCATCAACAACCCCTCTCCATTCTCTACCTCCCCACAGCCCCTGGCAATTCCTGTGTACATTCTGCTCCTACTGATTTGCCCCTTCTGTAAGTAGAATCACACACCTGACACATGTTCTTTTTAAGTCTGGCTTTTACTCAGCTTAGAGATTTGAGTTTTGAGGTTCATCTGTAGTTTATCATCATCTGGCCAATGCTTTTTTTTTTTTTTTTTTTTTTTTTTAGGACTGGGTCTTACTACATTGCCCTGGTTGGCCTGGAACTCACAAAGATTAAAGGCTTTTGCCACCACACTGAGCGCTCATTCTTTTTTATGACCAAATAATAATTGCATGTTTAAATACTGCATTTGATAGACTTTTGAGTTATTCCCACTTTAAGAATTTTGTTTGCTCATTGTATATGCTTACAGTATGTGTGTGCCACAGGTTGGACATACGAAGTTCAGAAGAATATTTGGAGTCAGTTCCTGCCTCTATCTCTGTCCTTGCAGTGGGAGTATAGGGGTTACAGATGCACGCCACTGCATTTGGCTTTTATACCTCTGCTCCGGTGGTTAGACTCCAGTTGTCATACTTGGACAACCAGCATTTGTATCCTGCTGGCCCTGTTTTCACCTTTATAGCGATCTCTAGTATTAACGTTGGTGAATATGTTGTCAGTTTCCTTAGTATGTATCTAGATGTGGATTTGCTGTCTCACATGGTGATTATTAACTTTTGGGAAATGGCCAAATTCCCTTTAATGTCTCTGCACCACTGTATAGTCCCCCAAGGAATACGTTTGAGTTTCAGTTTCCCCACACATCCTTGCCAAAACTTGTTAAAAGCTTTGTTTTCTTTTCTAATATTAGGTACCATACATGCTAAGCAAGTATTTTATTGCTAAAATATGTCCCCAGTTTCTCCCCTACTCCATTTTTAGATGAAGTCTCATTTTGTAGCCCAAGCTGTCACTGAATGCACAGAAACCCTGACTCCTAATGTCTTTTTATTGTAGCCACCCTAGTGGGGTTAAAGTGCCATCTCCTCTACCTCTCCAGTGCTTAGATGATGAGCATGCACTGCTGTGACTTAATTTCTAACTGGGTGCCAGGAATCCAAACTCAGGTCTGCACATTTGCAAAGCAAGTACTTTTATTGGCTGAATCATCTCTTACTAAAGCCCTGTTTTGTAATATGTTTTAAAAGGAAAAAGTAAGTTTTACCAGACCCTCTAACCTAATCAGAGAGGAAGACAATGCAATGAGCAGTGGACAAAGTAACTAGATAAGGTTGGTGGCAAATGCTACTGAGTTAAGGATTTTGGATATTCTCATAAGGCAGAGGGACTCACTGAGGATTTTAGCAGAAAATGACTTGGTGATTTTTCTTTTTCTTTCTTTCTTTCTTTTTTTTTTTGTTGTTATTTTGTTTTGTTTTTCAAGACAGGGTTTCTCTGTGTAGCCCTGGCTGTCCTGGAACTTGCTCTGTAAACCAGGCTGACATCAAACTCACAGAGATCTTCCTCCAACTGCCTCCTGAGTACTGGGATTACAGGCATGTGTCTCCACTGTCCAGCGCCAAGTATTCTTTGTTTAGAGCCAGATGAGGTGGCATATGCCTTTAATCCTGGCACTTGGATGGCAGAGACAAGCAGATCTCTGAGTTCAAAGTCACTCTGGTCTACAGAGCAAGTTCCAGGACAGCTAGGGTTACACAGAGAAACCCTGTCTTGAAAAATCAAAAAACAAATTATCAGTCTAGGGAGCTGGGCATAATGGCACACATCTTTAACACCAGTACTCAGAGACAGGTAGGCCAGTGTCTGAGTTCTAGGCCAGCTAGAGCTACATAGTAAGACCCTGTCTCAAAAAACAAAATCAATAAAAAACAGTCTATTGCTAGAGACAATAAGTTAAGAGTGCTTGCTGTTTTTCCAGAGCCCTTGAATTCAGATCTTAACACCAATGTTGGATGATTCACAACTGCCTGCTGTTTCAACTTCAAGAGACCAATACCCTCTTCAGGCCCCCTTACACATTTAAGCACAGACACACAGATATGCATACACATGTGGCATATATACAGATACACACAGAGAGAGTTTATAATAATAAAATACTAGTCTGAATGTTACCTGGAGAGTAGTTTGGTAGGATGAAATGTGGTCCCACTAGGACCTCAGTGGTAGTTCACCTGAGAGATGGTGGCAGACTGGGATTGTTTTGTAGCAGGTAGAAACAGTGCATGAATACAGAAATTTAGGAATAATATACTCTGGCAATAATTAGATGGGAGGGATAAAAGAGATATCAAGCCTGCATTTATAGATGGGGCAACGGGTTGATAAGGAACGCTGGATAAGATTAAATGACCATTTCCTGGAGCTGATGATCAATATCTCGAGATAGGCTTTTTGAACTTGTGATGGCTGTGAGACAGCTAAGTGACATTGAGTAGAAGTTGGATGTGCATGTTTAGTGCTCAGGAAACGCCTGGGCTAAATGTATAGTTTAGATGGGGGATCTGAAACCACATGGGTGGATAAGATAAAATAATCAAGTGAGAAGGTGCAGATAATAATTGATCCCTATAGCTAAACAGTGAGGTGCTGGGAAAACCAGGTGTGGAGTATCATGGAAGCCAGAAGTTATCATTTTGAGTTTTATCAACATTGAAATTAAAAACCGATGGGTCAGATGTGGTAGTGCACACTTTTATTCCCAGAACTTGGAAGGCAGGCAGGTCTCTGTGAGATCAGGCCAGCTCTGGTCTCCATATCAAGCTCTAGACCAAACCAAATTACAGAATAAGACCCTGTCTCAAAAACAAACAAAACAAGTGGATAACAGTTGCCAAAAATCCACGTCCCTGGTCCAGGAGTCCCTGGGAGTGAAGCCTAGGGGTTGTTTGTACATGCTTTTAAAGAAAACAGAAGTTTTGCAGGATGGTGGTGGCACATCTTTAATCCCAGCACTTGAGAGGCAGGGGCAGTCGGATCTCTGAGTCCAAAGCCAACCTTGTGTACAGAGTGAGTTCCTGGACAGCCAGGGCTACACAAAGAAACCCTGTCTTGAAAAACAAAACAAAAAAAGTGGAAGTTTTACTTGGTACAATAATTGTGATTTATAACCGAATCTTTGGTAACTTCTTTCCTAAAGGCCGGGATGCATCCAGAGCCTTTGTGACAGGAGACTATTCTGAAGCTGGCCTCGTGGATGATGTCACTGGCTTGTCCTCCTCTGAGATACTGATACTTCACAATTGGCTTTCATTCTACGAGAAAAATTATGTATTTGTCGGTATGTAGTCCTTGACCATTGCTATAGATTTCAGTTGGTTATTTTGCCATGTTTCTCAGAGTACCTGGATTCTTTTTTTTTAATCTATAAAAGTTTATTAATTTATAAAAGTTTCCATTTCCGCCCCTCCTCCCAACACCCTTCCACTCCCCCCACTCCCTCTCCTCCTCCCTCTCCATCCCTAAGAGCAGTCAGGGTTTCCTGCCCTGTGGGAAGTTCAAGTTCCTCCCCCCTCCCTCCAGGTCCAAGTACCTGGATTCTTTAGGAACTGGGTTTAAAATAAAAATTTGAAACCAGCCTGGGTTTTTCATGTTAAATTCTTGCTGTTAGTGCAGGAGTAATACCCAGAAGAAGATGAAGTTGTGGGTAATCTTGGGAGAGGATTGCCAGGCCTTGTACTGTGATGTCAGTGCCCTCAGTCAATGTCGTCTGTGTTGGATGTGAAGAGACAGCCTCCCTGTGGCTCCAGTACAGTTAGGATGCCTTGAAGCCACATGTGTGTGGTTCTGATGCTTCCCTTTGATTGCTCGCTGATGAAGCACATATCCGGAGTGAACTGTTTCTGAGATAGAAGTTATGCTCATCATGCATTTATTTATTTATTCATTCATTCAGGGTTTCTTGTGGCCTAACTGGTCTCAAACTCACTATGTAGATCAGGCTTGCATTGAGTTCCTGATCCTACTACCTCCATGTCCTGAATTAATGCCAGTTGTGTGTTGTCCTGCACTTGTTGCTTACTGATGGTACATGAGGGAACACAACTCTAAATGAGCAGACAACTGACAGACATTGATCACTACAGTCTTTCCTAAGCACCAAAAAGCTAGGATGGCTGAGGCCAATCCTTTCACCTGTGTAGCCCCACCTCTCATGGAACTCCACGTGGGCATGATTGACTTCTTGCAGATACCACTGTCCTTTTACCATTGGAACAAGTCTAGGTTAGAATTTACTGCCCCTGATGCCTCTAAAGGCTTGCTTTCATTACTGCTTGGGCTTCTTATTCTGAGAATCATGGTATTTTTCTTAACTCCTCTACTCAATATCCAGTTGTTCAAGCTCTGATTTTATAAGGTCCGAAGTGAGCGCCTTTCCATTCCACTCTCTTTTGTTCCTCATTGTCATCCACCGTTGCTCTTCCTCTTCCCACATTTACACACACCTTTCCTTGTTTTCCCTTAGTCTGTCCTAGATGCTTCCTCTGTACTCGGTGCACTTGTTTCTTCCTGTTCTCCATGATGTTGCCAGGTGACAGCTGAAGTGTTGCTGACCTAATGAAGTCCTACATGCTGGGCAAGCAGCCCTACAGACCAAGCTTCTTTTTTAATTCTGTTAGCTTGTTGGAAAGTCCCTGGTCATAGAGTCCTAAGTTGTTTGACTGCTTGTGACCAGCTAGGGTTAGGCTTTGCTTCTACTTTCAGCCTTTATCAGAAATGATTTAAAAGTAAATAAATCAAAAAAGAAAGAACTGGACTTTCCCAGCGTCCACATGCAGCTCACCACTAACTCCAAAGTACACTCTCACACAGATGTACCTGCAGGCAAAACACCACTGCATAGAAAATAAAAGTGAACAAATCAAGAAAGAAAGAAATAATCATATTCAGCTTCACTTATGCTCAAATGGGTCATAGTTATTCTTGAGGCCTAGCTGATGTTTTATGGTGAGGTTTTGTTTTATGTTTTTATTTTTCTTGGTTTTTGAAACAAGGTCTCATAGAACCCAGGCTGGCCTCAAACTTGTTGCGTAGCTGATGTTGGCATTGAAGTCCTGATTCTGGATTAAGTGTCCTAAATGTAGCAGCAGGCTTTCTTGTCAGACTATCTTTGGACCGCCAGCCCACAAATAGTGACTCAGAAACTTTTTTTTTTCCCGAGACAGGGTTTCTCTGTAGCTTTCGAGCCTGTCCTGGAATTCACTCTGTAGACCAGGCTGGCCTCGCACTCACAGAGATCCACCTGCCTCTGCCTCCCAAGTGCTGGGATTAAAGGCGTGCGCCACCACCGCCTGGCTCGACTCAGAAACTTTTTATTAGTTATAAAAGCTTGGCCTTAGCTTAGGCTTTTCCCCAACTAGCTCTTATAACTTAATTAACCCATATTTTTTATTTACATTTTGCCACATGACTCAGTTACCTCTTAGTATAGCACTTCCAACTTGCTCCAGGTCTGCTGGTGAGCTCGTGATTTCTAGAAATTTCTCCTCCCCCACTTTCTCTCTCTCTCTGCCTGGAAGTCCCACCTATACCTCCTGCCTAGCAATTGGCCATTCTGCTTTTTATTATACCACTCACAGCAGTACATCCTCACACAGTGTACAAATATCTCACAACACCCATGCAGTAGGACTCCATAAGCATGTACCACTATGTCCAGCTTGGGTTTTGTTTGTTTGTTTGCTTGGGTTTTTTATTTGTTTTGTTTGATACAGTGTCTGACTGTGTTGCCCAGGCTGATGTTGTACTCTGAGATCTGCCTGCCTCTGCTTCCTGAGTCCTGGGATTAAAGATGTGAGCCACCAAGCCTGGGATAATTTTTTTGTTTTGTTTTTACTTTGGATGTTTAGTAACAATATTATTATAAGACATTTCTGTTTTCAAGACTATTTTCTTCTGAAATAAAATCTTATATCTATCCAATAAAAAAGAAAGCGGCAAAGAGGAGTAAGAATGGAATCCTAAGACTTAACAAAGGATGCCATACCAAACACCAGGAACTGGCTTTTGGTGGCAAGCAGACTAGAAGTTCTCCTGATGTTCTTGGGAATGAGTACATCACAGTAACAATGGGGAATGTGGTGGGGATGCGTGGTTGGAATGCCCACGGGGAGAGTTTCAGTTAGTCAGGATACACTCAAACAACTGTAAGTAGTATTGCAGTTGTGATCCTCATTGTGCTGCAGAGCCTCAGGAATGTAGTTGGATATTCCTTTGGGCCACCAGCTCATAAATAATGACACAGAGACTTCTTATTAATTATGAAAGCTCAGTCCATAGCTAAGGCTTGTTCCTAACTAGCTCTTAAAACTTAACCCATTTATATTAATCTGTGTTCTATCATGTGGCATTACCTCTCTTCCATCTTGTACCTCCTGTTTCCTCTCAGTGTCTCCTGGCATCTCTGTCCTTTCCAGAGTCCTCTCTGTCCCCAGAAGTCCCACTTAACCTTTTCTTGCCTAGCTATTGGCCATTCATCTCTTTATTACACCAATCCCAATACTACCTCTTCACACAGTGTACAAATATTCCACAACACAGGAGTGTGTTCAGTGCAATTCCTGCCAAAGCTTTGACATGGGGACCTCTAAGACTTTCAGGGACATCAGAGGGTAAAGACAAATTTCCAAGGTGCGTATTGACTTCAACACAGTTAAGAAGCTATCATCGTAGTTGCTCAGCTGAACCTCAAGGAAAAATGCAACTTTTATTATGATCTAGACACACACTGAGACCCAGCTGCTAAGTCTGTTCTCATAATACAGCATCTAAAACTCTGCCTCTGCTCCTGCTATTCTCTCTTTAGATACCATGTCTAATATTCAGCAAGATAGACTCATCCCGTGCCATACAAAGCCCTGTGTACCCAAAAAGTTTTGTGGTAAGCCAACCTAAAGACTTCTAATCTGGCACTAAGGTCCTGATTCTTGATCTATTCATGTAGCACATATTTAAAACAGATGCTCTGTAGAAGCTGTTTTGAGTACTGGGCCTCACAAGATACTTTGACATCTCAATACAGGACTGTGAATAAAACCATGGATGCATGCTGGGGGCTTGAGTTACCTTTGGAGCTGGTAACCAAGGGAGATTTCTTGGAGCTGAATACAGCAAAATGGAACCTAGCAGAAGGAAGGGTAGCCATACTGAGATTTGGGAAGTGCAGCAGGCTGAGGAAGCAGTGGTGCCTGAGGTGGGTATCAGCAAAGCCTGGTCGAGTACGTGTGGGAGCCCACAGGAATGAGGGAGCAAGTGACTTAGAAAGAAGCAGAGTGGACAGCCAGACGGCTGGTGGGACCTGGAGGCCTGTGTAAGAAGTTTGCATTTTCTTTTGTGCTTGGAGTAGCTCCCAGAGGGTTTTAGTCGGGATAGCAGTGATGAACGATTTATGTTGAAAAAGAGTACTCAAGGAGCTGGAGAGATAGACGGCTCAGTTAGTTAACAACACTGGCTCCTCTTCTATTAGATTCAGCTCCCAATAGCACACGGTAGGTCACAGTCATCTGTACCTCTGGTTCCGTGGGATCTAACACCCTCTTCTGATCCCCACTGGGCATAATGCATGTAGTGCACAGATAAAGGTTCAGTCAAAACACTCACACACATAAAAATTAAAAAGTAAAAAGAGCATCATTAAATTTGCAAAACTGAGTCAGGAGAGTCAAAAGCCTCAGGCTAGCGTAGGCTAGAGAGTGAGGCCCTGTCTTGAAATAAACTCAAGGTTATTAGGTAAGGACATGCCTTAGTGGTAAAACACACACTTACCATGCGTGGAACCCTAGTTCTGGTCTGAGCACTAGGTGGGAAATGCCCCAGATGCTTTGTGGAGGAAGTACTATAGGAAAGCTTGAGATTCAGACCAGACCAGGAAGGCTGCTTGTCTTACTCTGTGTTTTGAATAAGGTGGCAGCAGTGAAAATCAACAGGAATGAACAGAATCAAAATATACTTCAGAGAACTGACAGGATTTACCCATTAGCCACGAATGAAGGGAAGTGCACATCTGAATGGGAAGGGATCAGGAGAGATCCACTGCTCTTGACATAGATGGCCTGAGGGATATATTAGTTTCTGTTGCTGTGATAAATTATCAGGACCAAGGCAACTTTATTTGGGCCTAGTGGTTCGAGAAAGAAAGTCCATAATGTCAGGCCATTAATCAGGAAGCTTCGAGATCACATTTTTAGGTATAATCACAGATCAGAGAGAGGGTGTGAACTGGAAGGGCAGCAGAGGTATAAGTAGTACTCAAATCTCTCTGCCCTCAGCGACACACTTTCTATATTATGTATACAGTATTTTGTCTGCATGTATGCCTACAGGCCAGAAGAGGGCACCAGACCTCATTACAGATGGTTGAGAGTCACCACGTGGTTGCTGGGAATTGAAATCAGGACCTTTGGAAGAGCAGGCAATGCTCTTAACCACTGAGCCATCTCTCCAGCCCCGCCCCCGCAACACACTTTCTTTAGCAAGTCTATACTACCTTCCAAGTAGCACCACCAACTAGGAACCAAGTGTTCAAATGCCTAAGCCTATAGAAGGCATTTCTTTTTTTTTTTTTAATATTTATTTATTTGCTTATGATGTATACAGTATTCTTTCTTCAGTCCAGAAGAGGGCACCAGGCCTCATTACAGATGGTTGTGAGCCACCATGTGGTTGCTGGGAATTGAACTCAGGACCTTTGGAAGAACAGGCAATGCTCTTAGCCGCTGAGCCATCTTTCCAGCCCCCATATAGAAGACATTTCTAATTTAAGGTCACTGCAAGAAAATTGGTAAGGGGGTGAGTGGTACTTGAGAGTATGAATGGAGTCTAGGACTTTCCATAGGAACCTCAGTTCAGCTCAGTTCAGCTCAGTTCTCAGGAATTAACTATAGATGTTAGACCCACACAGCTGGGATAGTGAACCGCACTACCTCCATCTTGATCAAAGCTCCTTGAAATGTTTTCTGGGGCTCCCTCCATCCAGGAAGGTGGTGCCCCCCCTTTTTTTCTTTTTTTCTTGGTTTTTCCGAGACAGGGTTTCTCTGTAGTTTTGGAGCCTGTCCTGGAACTCACTCTCGTAGACCAGGCTGTCCTCAAACTCACAGAGATTGCCTATCTCTGCCTCCTAAATGCTGGGATTAAAGGCGTGCGCCACTACTGCCTGACTGAAAATGATGCCTTTTAAGAGACCTTTTACGCCTCGGGACTACACGGCAAGCCACGGTACTCACAGAGAACTGAACCTTTTTTTGTGCTGCCTGTAAGTTGCAACCACTTGGTAGTTGCTTTCATAGCTTAAATATTAAGAAATTTGGAAAGCTAATTTAAAAATGAATATCCACTAAAGACTGAATCAGAAGAAAGTGGTAGAGGAGAAAGCATGGGTCAGTCTGGGTGGTCTAACTAACTAAATAGTTCTTTAAGACAAAGCAATTTGACATAGACCCAGAAAAATTTGAACTAATAAACTGTATGCTCACCCAGCATTTACTAAATACTTAGTGTTCCCCTAAACACCCTCATGATTCTGTTCTGTTCTTAGGGAAGTGATGTTATCTGATAGTGATAAAAGCTTGATCATTTCCATATTGCCAGCTAGCTGACTCTTTAGCTCTAGTTAACCAGAAACACAGATTCTAAACTCAAAATAGTAAATGGCCTTGATAGTCTTTCCTATTTATTTATTTATTTATTTACTATATATACAGTGTTTTGTCTGCAGGCCAGTAAAAGAACACCAGATCTCATTACAGATGGTTGTTAGCTGCCTGAACTAAGGACCTCTGGAAGACCGCTGAGCCATCTCTCCAGCCCCCTTGATAGAGTCTTTAAGTGACTCTGGAACTTCACAAGCAAGTTCTCCATTATCTTCATTTCTCTCAACACTCTTATCTTCCAAGCTCCCATAGAACAAGTTTTGAATGCTCAATGACTTTTTTAGCCCAGAGTTCCACAGTCCTTCTACAGTCCTCCCAAAAACAACTGGCCAGGTCTGTCATAGCAATATTCCATGATTTTGGTGTCAGTTTCTGTTTTAGGGTTCCTGTTGATGTGATAAAACACCATGCCCACAAGGAACTTGGGGAGAAAGGGTTTATTTGACTTATCCTCTCTTGACCTTTTTCCTTGTTATCCTAGGGAGATTGGTAGGAAGGTTCTACAGAGAGGATGGGCTGCCCACTTCAGAACTAACACAGGTAGAGGCCATGGTAACTAAAGGCATGGAGGCAAATGAACAGCAACGGAGAGAAAAGCACAAGTTCCCTCCATGTAATGCCGAGTGGAGCTCCACCAAGGGTAGCCGAGTCTGGTGCTCCCAAAAGAGGTAAGCAGGCTACCTTTCTGCTCTTCCACCTCTCCTGAATCCATCTTCTAAGCCATCCTTTTATTATTTGTTTGTTTGTTTGTTTGTTTGTTTGTTTATTATTCAGGGAATCCAGAATTGACTGCTAAGCTAGGGAACTTACATGTGCTATGCATGTTAGGTCTTCTAAGTTATATCTGTTTCCTTATTGTGATAAAAATACCTGAAAGAAGCATAAAGGGAGAAAGATTTAACCAGTTTTATGGTTGTAGAGAGTACAGTCCACCATGGCAGGGAAAGCATGGTAGAGCAGCTTAGTCTGTGGCCATTGAGATGTATAGCTATCAGGTCTCATATCATTGTAAATGGGAAAGCTGAGTTTGTTGCAGAACCAGAAGCAGAAATAACCTTTAAGCCTGCCCCAGCTAGTAACTTCTAGGTAGGTCTTAGTATCAAAGGTTCTACAACCTCCCCAAACTGCTCTAGCAGCTGGGGACCAAGTATTCAAATATATGAACCTATTGGGAACATGTCATATTCAAACCACGAGATGGAGAATTAAAGAAAAATCCCGATAGTAGAACCTTTAGTAACCAAATGAAAACCTAGTGTTGAGAAATGCATGAGACCTGGACCTCTTCCTCACCTCTCAGTCTCCCAGAGATCCTACTAAAGGAGAAATGCTGGTCTGGTACTTGAATGGCGCAGGTACTATTTCTTTTCTTTTTTAAAATTCAGTTTATTTAATGTGTATGTGGGAATGTCTGTGTATGTTTGTATATGCAGTTACCTGCGGAGGCCAGAAAAGGACATTGAATTTCCAAGAACTAAAGTTATAGACAGTTGTAAGCAGCCATGTGGATGCTAAGAATCTAACCCAGGTCCTCTGTAAAAGTAGCTAGTACTCTTAACTGCTGGGCCTTCTTTGTGACCCATAAATTTTCATGATTTTTTTTTATTTTTAATTGTGTATATACGGGGTTGGAGAGATGGCTTAATGCTTAAGAACACTTGTTACTCCTACAGAGGACCTGGCACCCACTGATGGCTCGCAGCCATCCATAACTCCAATGCCAGGGGGTCTGATGCCCTCTTTAGACGTCTATAGGCATCAGGAACACATGTAGTGTTATGTCCAAGTTTCTGGTCCCCAAATAAATTCATGGAGCCAGATTTCCGATGCAAATTACATGAGGGTTTTTGTTTGTTTGTTTGTTTTGAGACAGAGTTTCTCTGTAGCTTTGGAGCCTATCCTGGAACTAGCTCTTGTAGACCAAGCTGGCCTCGAGTTTGGACCACACCTCCACCACACCAACGCAGTGGGTGAGGGAAGTGCAGCCCTAAACCCACAGAAGGGACAAACTAACTTAAAGGGGGAACACCAGAGCCAGGGGCGTTTGAGTCCTGTCGTCTTGGGATTGGGTAAGGATTGCATAAGGTAGTTTCTGAATCCATTGGTCAGTTTTTTGGGCGTGAAAACCTAACAAAGAGCCATAAATTACTGACAAGGAATCTTCAAGGACAGAATGTCTTCCAAGAACATCTGGACCTTGTTAAATTTTATGGTCCTGCTCCCTTTCTTCTTAATTGACCATTTTTAGGGTATCTGTTCAAATTTCTGCTATCACAGCACGTTTCTGGAGCTGAGATTTCCTCTCCCCCCAGCTCATTATATGGCTTAAGATGAAGTCCCTTCTTTAAAGTGGAGTTTGCAAGGTCAGGTCCTCATAGTAGTATACATAGTAGTATACATATATACACACAGATAAAGCACTTATACATATAAAATAAAAAGATAAACCAAAAAATCATGTATGTATGGCTATGTGCATGTGAGTGTAAATGCCCAAGAGTCCAAAGGCGGTGTGTCCCCTGGAACTCGAGTTCCAGGATGTTGTGAGCTGCCAATGTGGGCGCAGCGAACCAAACTTAAGTCCTCTCGAAGAGCAGCGTGTACTCTTAACAGCTGAGCTTTCTCTATCTCAGGTACTGTTTCTTGGCCACTTCTGCTTGTTCAGCCAGAGATAGTCCTCAGTTTCCTGTCTGTCAGCACAAATTATTCCTGCCTGCAGGAGAGTGGTGTGGGAGGTGGACCCATTCTCTGATGCCCTTGGGTACTGTTTTATTTTTATTTTCTTTACAACACAATCACAGGTGGCAATCCTAGACTGGCCTTGAACTCTCTGTTCAAGGATGACCTTGAATTTCGGATCCTCTACTGAGACAGGAATTACCAGCATCCACCACCATCATGCTTGGCTTATGCAGTACTAGTGTTTGAACTCAGGGCTTTGTGCGAACTAGGCAAGTACTCTGCCAACTGAGCTATATCTCCAGATGTTGTTAAAGCACTGTGGTGATTAGAGTGTAGCTTAATGGTAGAGCTCTTGCTTAGAACATGGCCATGTGTTCAGTCCTGAGCACCATTAGAAGCAAAGCAACAGGGGACTGGTGAGATGGGTTAAGAGCACTGGCTGCTCTTCCAGAGGTCCTGAGTTCAATTTCCAGCAACCACCTGGTGGCTCACACCATCTGTAATGAGATCTGGTGCCCTCCTTTGGCGTGTGGGCATTCATGGAGGCAAAATGTTGTATACACAATAAACAAACGAACGAACAAACAACAAACCATTAAAACACACACACACACACACACACTAGTACCCCAAGCATTTCCAGGAAGTGCAGGCTGAATAGGAGTCTCTTCCTGCTCAAACACAGTACAGTGAGTGGGGCTATAGAAATTATTCCAAATGTTCTTTTCTGCTTTAATTATCTGGTCAACCACATTCAAACTTCAGCTCTACTTTCTCACATCTCCCTTAGCTCTGGTAAGGTGACAGTGGAAACCAGAATCTGGACAAGGGTCCCAGACTCAAAGAATCAAACTGACAGTCAAGCTCTTATTGAGGAGGACTGGGGAGGGCCACATTCCTACATGCTAAGCTATGTAGAGCTATCTTTTTTTTTTTTTTCTGGTTTGTTCAAAATAGGGTTTCTTTTTCTAATAGTCCTGGCTGTCCTGGAACTCTCCTTATAGACCAGTGCTGGGATTAAAGGCACGTGCCACCACCACCCAGCTTAGAGCTGCCTTTTGCCAGGGATCTATCTATCCATTGAGTGAGCAGAGCAAACAGTCAAAGCCACCAGCTTTCTCCAAGTATAGCCACTGTACCCATCCATTCTGCTTTTATTTGGGGGAGTAAAGTGAAGGTTCAGGAAGGAAAATGTTCAGAGACATAGTTTTTATGTTACCTTTGGAGCCTAGCCTCCCACTTAACAGGACAGTCTGGGATCTGAATGTCCTTCTTGGGACACAATCCTGGATATAGGTAGACTCAGAGGACACTGGTAATTGTAGGAGGTGCAGAAACCTGTGGTGCACAATTAGATGCTTCCTGTGCCCCTTGAGAGCCTCCCCTCCCCCAAGATTCTTCTGTATCATGAACTCCCTGGTATGCAGGACTGAATTGCTAAGGCCATGCCTTTCCACAGAGTCCTTCCAGACCTGTTCCTGAGTCTCAACCCAGTGTTGTTTTCTGATGTGCATCTCTGAAAGGAGCGTTGTGAACAGGGACCAGGTGTAGAGTAACAATCACTGGTGGAATGGACAGTTGAACTGAGAAGGGAGTCATTTTGGTGCCTAAGTAGCTCTGCTCATGGATAAGATACAAGTGAAATGTTTTCTAACAGTGCCATTTCCTCCACCAGTCTGTGATCCTGGTCCTAAGCACTGGCGCCCAGGGTCAGTTTCATGAATGTCACTTTCCTTCTGCAAGGCCCCTGAGTCTGCCAGAGATCAAATGAAGTTAGGTTCTTCACCCAGGATAGGAGGTTGCCATGGTATGCTGGGGCAGACTGGGATCCTCCTTCCCTAAAACCTGGCAATCTCAGGAGTTGAATCCATGCAGAGCCAGCACAGCTTGCTGCCACACAAATATCAAGGTCCACCCTATCAAGTGCTCCAAGCCCAAAGATGAAGTTGCTGTTCAGCATGGATGTAAAGGAAAGAGGAACAGGGCTGCTCACTGACTAGTCAGGGAGACTTCTCAGTCACTAGCCACCAGTTCAGGGAAGTGACATTGTTGCTGCTTGAGAAAGAAAAGGGACTGAGGCAAGGGACACGAACTCTTGCTTCCTTCTGGAGGTGGTAGTATTAGCATTGTGTGTGGAAAGCCAGAGGAAGAAGAGAGCTTATGGCCCAGGTTGAGAGAGGAAGTGGAATGAAGGGCATCTCCTTTTCATAACACCCTGCAAGTGTTTCTTCCTTTCCCTTTTCCCTAGTGGAGGTGTGAACAGAGACTGGATTGGTGTCCCCAGGAAGATGTATAAGCCAGGGGCCAAAGAGCCCCACTGTGTGTGTGTGAGAACAACTGGCCCCCCTAGTGACCAGCAAGACAACCCTAGACACTCAAATCGTGGGGACTTGGACAATCCCAACTTGGAAGAATACACAGGCTGCTCACCTCTGGCCATGGCGTGTTCCTTCCCGCTCTGAGATGGTGTCCTGTGTGTTGATGACACGTGGAGAACCTTCCCTACATCTCCAGGAAGCCCTTAATGCTTATGCTGTAGGAGGCACCTGGCACGAAAATAGGAGGGTCACAGACGCCAGCCTCACTCTGCAAACGTGTGTTACGATTCTATTGACTGAGACAAGAGCCTGATAGCCTGCCTGGTATGTCACTGTTTGGAACCTTGGTCCCCTGTCATCTTCCTTCAGAGCCTGCAGACATTCATGAACACAGTGTGATCAACATAGAACTGCCTGGATAGAGAGCCTGTGAGCTCCAGCAAGGGACTTCGCATGAACTCATTGCTGCCCTAACCAGAGCTTGTGCTCTTCCCATCGTGCCAGTCCTGCTGGTACTTGGAGCTATAGCAGAAGAAGACTGTTGTGACTCTCAACAGAGGAGCAGGCATTTCCCAAGAAGCTGTGCATCTTGCAGAATCAAGGTAACTGTTCTAAGTCACAAGGTAATTGTCTAAGCTTGCAAAATAGTCAACTTTAGTGACATTTCTAAAACCTCTACTCCAAGGAAAACTTAAATTTACTGACTCCATCAGAACTGGGATGGTACGGTGAGATGTGAAAATACACTGGGATGGGCTGATTCTGGGATAGGTAACTTTTTCCTTACACAGACAGAGCACACCCAGATTTCCCCTGCCCAAGTGTGCATTAAACAGCTCCCTTCCCTCATATCATTAATGTGAAGTTTTTTCTCTACTCCCCGAGTTTCTATAACTACCACACATTTTGAAAGGGGCTTCTGCTCCAGGTGTCTCAACCCCATTCACTGCCGAAAATTCCCCTTTCTTCTCTGCAGGGGTCAGTTCTTACTGATCTTTATTGTTGTTGCCGGTTTTAGTTTTTGAGACAGGGTCTCCTGTATCTCTGGCTGTCCTGGAAGCTCCTAGGTAGACCAGGCTGGCATGGAACTCACAGGGATCTATCTGTCTCTGCCTCCCAAGTATTGGGATTAAAGGCCTGTGCCACTATGCCTTGCTAATTCTTACCTCTTTTGATCTCTGCTACTTTTTTAAAAAATTACTTGACTTTTTGAGATAGGAGTTCATGTATCCAAGCCAGCCTTGAATTCAATATATAGGCATGTGCTACCATGCTCAGTTTATGCAGTACTAGGGATTGAACCAAAGCTGTGTGCATGCTAGGCAAGTATTTTACCAACTGAGCTACATCCCTAGGCCCTAAATCTTCATTGCTCTTGACTCTGTTGACCATGCTGTCCTGCACAGTCCCTATAAAGTCCTCACTTGCTGCATTGATCACACTGCAGTGCTTCCTTCTGTGTCTCTGAAAGCTTCATCTCCAGGAACCTTCTCTTTGGTTTTTCTTTCTCCTCCTTCAGGCAGTACACTGCTAGGCAGTATCTCCGATCTAAAGGGCTTGAAAATAAAGAAACTTGTGAGCTCTTTCTAAAGGCACTGCAAACCTCACATTACTTTTTTTCTCTTGTGTACATGATGTATGTGTGTACATATATCTGTGAAATGTGATGTTAGAGATCTTTCTATATTTCTCTCCTCCTTATATGAGACAGGGTCTCTTACTAAACCTGTAACTTATTTGACAAGACTGGCTGACCAGCAAGCTCCAGGAACCCTCCTGTCTCTTCCTCCCCAGTGCTAGGCTACAGGTGTGTGTCTTCATGCCTAGGTTTTTACAGAATCTGAACTCCAGTCCTTATATATGTGGCAAGTTCTTTTTGTTTGTTTTTTGTTTTCAAGACAAGGTTTCTCTGTGTAGCTTTGGAGCCTGTCTTGGCACTTGCTGTGTAGACCAGGCTGGCCTTGAAGTCACAGAGATCTGCTTGCTGCTTCCTCCCAAGTGCTGGGATTAAAGGCATGCACCACGGTCCAGCCATGTGGCAAGTTCTTTACCAGGTGAGCCATGCCCCCAGCTCTACAGACCCGACATTGCTAATGCCTCCATCCTCCCTTGTCACCAGATGTCTTGGTTTCAGCTGTGAATTTGACGCAAACTTAGGGTCATCCAGAATGAGACTCTCAACTGAAAAATTACCCAGATCACATTAGCCAGTGATCACGTTAGACTGTGGCATGTCTGTGCAGCATTTTTTTTCCTTTCTTTCATTTGTTCTTAAAAACAAAAATGAATTAAAAAAAAAAAAACCTTTTCTTTCTTTCTTTTTTTTTTTTTTTTGATTTTCGAGATAGGATTTCTCTGTAGTTTTTGGTGCCTGTCCTGGAACTAACTCTTGTGGACCAGGCTGGCCTCAAACTCCCAGAGATCCACCTGCCTCTGCCTCCCAAGTGCTAGGATTAAAGGCATGCACCACCACCGCCCGGCAAAAAATCATTTCTCTATGTAGTACTGGCTGCCCTGGAACTTGCTGTGTGACAAACCTGCCTTAAATTCACAGAGATTCCATCTGCTTCTGCCTCCTGCTGCTGAGATTAAAAGCATTAAGAAGCACCATGCCTGATCCCTTTTTATCCCTCAGTGTACATGCATGGGGACTTGGTATTTTCTTAAATTGCTAATTGAGGGCATATGTGGAGGTGGGCACCAGCCCTAAGCAGGTGTAGAGAGAGAGGTGTTTGCTGAGCAAGCCAGCTAGCAGCATTGCTCCAGTTTCTGCTTCATCGACTCCTGCTGACTTCCCTAAGTGGTGACGTGTTACCTGGAAGTGTACGATGAAATAAATCTTTTCCTCCCCAAGTTGCTTTTGGTCAGGACACCATATGACCACTACCACCATCCCACGCTGCCCTAGGGAAAAGCCTGGCAAGTTGTCAGAATTCCTGCCTCCTGTCTAGTCTGCACCCTTGAGTCCTACCTGCTAGCTCTTCCTCTTTATCCCTCCTCCTTCTGGTCTCCTGTGTTTAGGCTGGCAGATCTTAAATGTTCCACCCACTTTCCTGATGTGGTAGATTGTAGGCAGAGGCTGCTTGTTTGTTCCCGGCTGCCCAGACCTAAAATAATCACTCAGAAACTATATTATTTACAATATCGTCTGACCAATAGCTTAAGCGTAATTCTAGCAAGCTCTTATATCCTAAACTAACACATCTCCATTAATAACATCACTACTACCCGCAATGTTATGGCAGGCTCCCACAGAAGTGTCTGTCTCCTGTGGCAGCTACACAGAGCTTCTCCCTGACTCCGCCTACTCTCAGCATTCAGCATGGTCCTGCGTGATCGCGCCCCCCCCCCCCCACCTAGCTCTACTCTACCCTCTCACAGACCAAAGAAGCTTCTCTATTCATTAACCAATAAAAGCAACACATATACAGAAGGACTTTCCACACGGGTAGATTATCTTCATGATGATAAGGGTAGTCCCCACTTAAACTTCCCATGGTGTCTTAGTTAGGATTTTTATTGCTGTGATGAAGCATCATGATCAAAAGGCAATTTGGGGAGGAAAGGGTTTATTAGGCTCAGCATTGCTGTTTATCACTGAAGGAAGTCAGGACAGGAACTCAAAAGTGAGGATCCTAGAGGCAGGAGCTGATGCAGTCATAGAAGGGAGCTGCTTTTTTACCCTGGCTTGCTCAGCCCACCTTATAGAATGCAGGGTCACTAGCCCAGGGATGGCACCACCCACCATGGGCTGAACCCTCCCCACTGATCACTAAATGAGAAAATGCCTTACAGCTGGATCTTACGAAGGAGGCATTTCCTCAGCTGAGGCTCCTTCCTCTGATGAGTCTTAATTTGTGTCAGGTTGACACAGAAAACCAGCCAGTACACAGGGGTGCCCTGTATCTTTGAGGATCACATGCAGCATTGTGGCAGAGGGGTTCCCTGCACTGCCTATCTGGCTTTAACTGTATATTCCTTTCCTATGTGCCCTACTCTGCTGTCTTGCTCTATGTAATCCCTACATACAAACCCTTCCTTCTGGAGAATCTCTCACTTACTCCATTAGTCTTTCATTTATTTCTCAATAGTCCTGTCTTCACAGGCCCTGCCTGGGTACCTTCATTAGCCACAGAGTAGATTTCAACTCTCCACCAGCACATGGTTGTTCAACCCCTGTGGGCATGATGGTGCAACCCATGAATCTTAGCATTTGGGAAACAGAGACAGGCAGATCTTTGAGTTCGAGATTAGCTTGGTCTATATAGCAAGTTCCAGGCCATGTAGGGCTACAGTGAGACCCTGCACTCCCCCCCGCAAAAAAAGGACCTATCTTCATGGGTTTGAGCCATGAATCCCATCAGCCTCACACTGGACTGATTCATACAATCATGAACATTGTACTCCCAGGGCAGGAACTGACAGCGAACTAATCAAGGACCTTGTTCTGAATTCTAGACAGCCTGAGTCTGGTTCTTAGGTGCTGGGATTAAAGGGAGTAGGACCATCCAAGTTCATAAGAGGCCCCCACAAAATTAGCTAGATCACCACAGCTAGTCTGAGTTGAGGGCAAGCAAAATGAAAGCGGACTAGAGAAAAGAACACATTAGTCCAGGATATATCCTGAACTAATCCTGAAGACCTGTTCACTAGAATTCTAGAATTGTTTCTCTCTCTCTCTCTCTCTCTCTCTCTCTCTTTTTTTTTTTGGTACTAGATTTGTTTTTGAACCAGATCTTAATCTGCAGGCTCCTAGACATTTTTTGACATTCTCTGAAGCCCAGTGCCAGTCCCCCACCCCTTTTTTCTTCATCTTGGCCAGTGGGAAGCTCACCATGGGTGAATCCTTATAGTTGCTTTGAAATAATGGAAGAGGAGTCCGGGATTCTTTGAACAACTTCCATGGGGCCAGACAACTGAAACTCCATCTGCACTCTCATGTATCACTGAAACTTCCACCGGGGGGGGGGGCAAGGAGCACAGCAGCTGCTCACTCTACACAAACCGCTTACTTTGTGACATCTGTCAACATGTGTCACATGAAACGTAAAGGGTAGCTGTTCAAGTTGTTTGTTCACATAACATTTTTTAAGTATTTTTAATACTTTTGAGTATCTTGCCTGTATGTACATCTGTGCACCACACGTATGCCTGGTGCCTGAGGAGTTGTGAGCTTCCATGTGGGCGCAGAGAATGGAACCTGGGTCCTTTGTAATAGTTCCACTTAACCACTGAGGCAACTCTCCTGCCCTCTTTTACTGTTGTTGTTGTTTTAGAGGAAAGGTTTCCTCTGTGCTAGTAGCCCTGGCTGTCCTGGAACTCACTTTGTAGACCAGTGGTCTCTAACTCAGAGATCCACCTGCCTCTGCCTCCCGGGTGCTGGGATTAAAGACGTGTGCTACCACAGCCCGCTTTTTTTTTTTTTTTTTTTTTTTTTTTAGTGTTTTGAGACAGGCTGTTCTGGAACTAGCTCTGTAGACCAGGCTGGTCTTGAACTCACAGAGATCCCTCTGCCTCTGTGATAAAAAATGAAAAATGTCTTTAATTAAAGCTTCCACTTAAAATTCACAGTTTTACCTTATTTTTATTGTAAGGAATTATTACAGAAAATGAAAATATCAATATTTGAAAAATACATCCCATTACACAGACTCCAAAGAAACAATGCTGCTAAGCGCCATGGTCCCAGATGATGCTGTTATTCCCATACTGATCTCCACCAGGGTGGTTTGGAAGCCAAAGTGATTATCCAAACATGTGCCTGCAGTTTTAAAAGGTCCAGATGCTGCCTTGTCTTGGTACCACAAGGATGTCATGGAACACACAGCTCCACACAGCTGCCAAACAGGCAAGTCAGTAAGTCCAGCAGTCCCAGACTTCTCGCTAAAGCAAACCAATGTTGTCAGTTTTAACAGTTAATTAATATTTATGCCAGTGATCCTCCAGAGAGTCTTTAAGGCATCTATGACGTCTGGGAATTTAAATATTTAGATAACCAATCACACACTCAGGTTTTTCACTAGATCAGTTCTGTAAAGTGAGCATGGCTCAGAGGCCTGTGTTGAACTGCTTCCTCTGTTGGGCTGGCAGTGGTGCTCTGAAGCTTCAGGTGGTTCTAGGGGGATGGTCCTGAAGGAAGACGGTGTCAGTGAGGAGGCATACACTTACTTGTGTATGATGTGGTTGCTGTCTCTCAGGCCTAAGTATTTGGCAGTTCAGCTCAGTTCTTTTCTCCAGGTAAGGGATCCTAAATGGAGGCTTTGCCCTGCTACCCCCCACCCACCCGCCTTGTCTGCGAAAAAGACCAGTGCTGGAACAGTTCAGTATGAGGGGCAGAGACCACACACCCAGTTCCCTGAAAGACCCATTCAAGGAAAGGTGGGAAGCTGACGGGCTCAGGACTCTGAGGTAGAGGATAAAAACATCATGTTGACCACAATCCTTGGAGAGAATATGGCAGGTGAATGGAGCCTTGACTGGTTATTGGGGTGGAATAGGCCCAAAACTCGTGTTCTAACATCACTGAGTGAGACACCAATGAAAAGACAACTGGAAACAACAGAGTCCTCAGTGTAGGCACTTAAGCTTGTGGAACATCACTATGTTAGAGGATCATAGCAAACTAGTTTAAGCACATCGTTTGTACTTGTCTTTAAAAAAACAAAAAAACCTTGATTGATACACTGTACAGTAAGACTAGTGATGAACAAGAGGCAGTTAAAAAGCTAGTAAGCACAGCAGTGCTAACTGATGCAGCAATTATTTCAGTAAGTTTATTCTTCCTGCTTTGCTCATTCACAACTGGCAACTTTTTGAATGAATAAAATGAAGTTTTGCTTCTAGTTCTCAAGAACAGCTAAGCAGTTTCATGGTGCAGTCTGGTCAGCATGGAGAGAGCACAGAGAGATACACAGTAAGTGTGTTCCTGGCTAAGGCAGTGTACAGCAGGAGTCAGTGCATGGTCGGGCTGTGGAAGGATGCGTGAGTCATGTCTACAGCATTGGTACTGATGCCCAAGTCACATAGCCCCTTTCAGCCATAGCTGGTCACTACGCTGACCTCTAAAGGAATAGAAGTTTGAACCCACACTTTTAGGCATGATTTTTAGATTATAAGTACAGTTATAGGAAGACTGTTATGGAAACTGGTGTTGTGGGGCAAGGACAAAATGATGAGCTTCATAACGATTCCCTATTTTCCCCTCTTCTGTGAACATGAAAACCCAAGTGTATGTGTACCGACCATCTAGTTCACAGCAGAACCACAACTACCTTCCTCACTAAAGAATAATGGCACCAACTAAATTCTAGGTCTCTGTGGCCCCTTTTAGGCACCAAAAATTGGAAACTGACCACATGCTTCATATAGTTGTTAGCCAAGACTGGCTAAATAGTTCCATAAAAATTCCCTATAAAGTAAGTCACAGGCTGCAGGACAGTGGTACTCCTCTAAGTAACTCTTCTTTCAAACCCTGTATATAAGCTATTATTAACATAGAAATCACACAAGTATTTTTAGAAAGTAGCACACTGGTTTATCAGTACATTTTATACATATATAGGCAGTAAAAAGTCTAACTGCACAGAGGACATACCACTATCCAAGAAAGTGATGCCAAAAGTCCCTTTTATTTATACATCTGTACTTCATTAATGCAAATAATGTAGGGTTATCAAATGTCTCCAAAAAAAAAAAAATCAGTGTGTGTAATTGACATTGTTAATCTCTAAGAGTAACTGGATAGTATTCATCTTGGAGCAGTGGTGTTTTCATTTCTTTAAAAAAATAATAAGTGGTAAAAGTTTATCTTTCAGTGTGCAATAAAATAAAATTAAAAAAATTAAAATTCCAAAACAGAAGTACCCAAAACACTGGTCAAACTTTAAAAAGAAAGAGGCCCAGCATCCCAGGGTTAGTACAGGCAGCAGTATGAATCAATGCCCTGTGCTTCAGAGCCTTGCTCCACATTTCAGGCAGACTTCCAAAACAGTCTGTTCAGAGTTTGGCCAGGGCCTTTGGTTGCTGGCTCTGATGGGACAGGGCACTACTCACAACTGGCACCAACTGCACGCAGCATGCAAGGCAAGGTTTTAGCTTTGGAAGGCTGTGTCAGGGAGAGAGCACTTGGACTGACGTCATACTCATCTTTCTCATCAATATAAATTTCTTCCTTCATTGGCAGTTTTCCCTTTATGATTAGTGTGTGCTGAGGTTCAGTCCAGGCTGGCCATCAGAACCACTGATAGGAGGGTATGTGAAAGGATTTCTAAACATGGATTTGTGAATTGGATTTATCAATGATGCAGCTTTACAAAAAGTGCAGCACAGCCAAAGTGCATTTCTTCTACCATTCAAGTGGCAGTGACTGAGAACTCCACAGACAGGACGCAGCGAGACGAGAGAATGCGACAGCTGCTAGGTGTCAAGCTGCCACTACACTCTGACACCCAGCAGTATCAACATTGGTAAAGCTTTTGGTTGTTAAGGCCACAATTTTCAGCTCTCATCTTTCAACCCTGTTTAGAAAGATTTCACCTTTTTAAAAGGGGCAGCTCACTAAAAAATACAGCTTAGCTTAAAAAAGAAAGAAAAGACTTGAGGGCAAGAGGTTCCTGTTATCTTTATGAAAACACTGTGCATTAGAGGCCATAGCTACTTAGAGTAGCCACCACCCTAGAGTAATCAGCTCTCATCTAGCAGTTGCTCTCTACTCTGTCAGGCTCTGCCTCTAAGTCAGCCCAGGCAGGAAGACTTTGTGGATTCTCTGAGGTGGGCGCTATACTACCAGAAGGGAAAATTGTCTCAAGTGTCCTTGTGTGCTGCTAGCTGATTCCTATCACATTTGCCACGCAGGCTACACTGGCCTGGTCCAACCAGTGAGACATCTAGTGCAAGAGACCACAGTCTGACACAGTCATACAGAATCATCTGAAATGGGATCACATCATGGTCTGTAATTGTTCCAGTCTTCTGCCACAGGAAGACAACTGTCAGCTCTTGCTCTGGGTAGGAAGCAGGCTGGTGAGTAGAGCAGCTGCTGGGGAGGAGCCAGGGGATGCAGACCTGGATCCTCCTGGGGGCTCACTAAGAGACTCCACCCAGAGTCAGTACATCAAAGCAAATGTTGCAAACCCGCACAGGCTTGTTCAGGTCAAACTTTATAATTGGAATCTCCTTGGTTGAGCATTTATGGCAAAGAAGACGGCCGCAGTGACGACTGTGGAGGCAAAGAAAGAGTATGAGAAGCATTGAAGAAAAGATTATTCCCAAGCCAGTCTCTGACTGACATCTGTGGCCAACATGTAACATGTAGTTATTAATAAAATACTAATCATGGCTGAATTAAAGCAAACATGAAGATAAGTCAGCTGCCCCACCTTTCTAAGACTGCTATCTAGTCCTTAGCACCCTATGAGGCAGTGCTGGAACTTTAGCACCCAGGAAAGCCACAAGTCTGTGTGGTACTGGTTTTCTTGTTCTCCCTCTACCATGGATGCTGCTCAGTTCTATCACCTCCTCATTATGTTTGGTAAACTTTTGCCCTGATGAGGGGCTCATGGCTCATGATGGAAGTGATGACACACCAGCTAAAGCTTCTACTCCCTGTAAATGATGGTGGGGTCTTACCAGTGATGTTTTCGAGTTGTGACTCCAAACTTGGCAGTGCACTCATAGCAGTTGGAGCCGTCACACCATGGAGGCTCCTTGGAGAGCATATCTGTAACACACACGGAAGATTACTTGTCACACAGTGACGTGCTGGAGAGACCAGGCTCCAGGAGGAGGAGCAGGACACTCCAACTGGTCAGGGGAAGATTCACAAGAGTCTGGAGAATCAATCAGCACTTGCCAGACATGCTGGAACAGAAGGAAACACAGCTGGAGGTGTGAATCAGCAGCATGTGTTTGGTAACACACAAGGCGGAGAGTAGAGACCACACCAAAATAAAACTGCCAGGGGCTGAAGGGTTGGAAACACAGTAGAGGGAACTACGACAAAGGAAACAAGAAGAATCTGAATTTAGGAGGCTGTCTGAACATGCAAGTGGGATGAGTGAACAACAAAGAGACAAAGGGATCCTCGGACTTCTGGACAGAGTGACTCAGTCTGGTGGGACCAACAGAGAGATGACGTGAAGAAAGAACTAATGCAAAGAAGTTGCAGCTGCACCTTGTAGGTTGGCAAAGTGTCGTGGGCAGGGTCCTGTTGCTCTGTACAGGTAGGGGCAGCAAATGGGTTGGTAACTTGGAACTAGCACTGCCACAGGAACTACTAAGGGCTGAAAAGGCTGACCAAGTGCATAGCATAGGGGCAATTAAGATTATACATCAACAGCACAAAGCTTTCTTTAAAAAACAAATATAGCCAGGAGGTGGTGGCATATGCCTTTAATTCCAGCACTCAGGAGGCAGAGGCAGGAGGATTTCTGAGTTTGAGGACAGTTTACAGAGCCAGTTCCAGAGCAGTTAGGGCTATTACACAGAGAAACCCTGCCTCAAAAAAAATAAATAAATAATAAAATAAAAATAAGTACATAAGTTTATTATTAGCTGGAGAGATAGCTCCATGGTTAAGGACTCTGATTCCAGGGGGTATGACACCCTCTGACTTCTGAAATGAAAGACACACAGGTACACATACATTCACAGAAAATCCTTTAAAAATAAACTCATTTTTCTTTAAAAAAAAAAAACAAAAAAACTTTTTCATTATATTTTTACATGTAAGGACATTCTGTGTGCATGTATGTCTTTCTGCCATATGCATACTTGCAGGGTAGCCAAAGAGGAGTGTCAGATCCCTTGGAAATGAAATTACAAACAGCTATGACCTACCACGTAGATGCTTGGAATTGACCTGGATCCTCAAAGAAAAGCCAGCACTAAGACATCTCTCCAGCCCCATTAAAGAAGGAAGGAAGGGAAGGAAGGGAAGGGAGGGAGGGAGGGAGAGAGGGAAGGAAGGAAGGAAGGAAGGAAGGAAGGAAGGAAGGAAGGAAGGAAGGAAGGAAGGAAGGGGAAAGAAAGTCTGTAAAAATAGAATCTATGTGTGGGTGCACATGAGCGTTTCATGAAGTGACTTAACAGTCAGAGGACGAGTTAGGACTCAGGTCATCAGGCTTGTGCAGCAAGCACTTCATCTGCTGAGCCATCATGCTGACCCTCTAAAGAATTTTATATTGACACTTGATAAGTTGTATTTCTGGGATACGGTATGAAGATCTGATGATGTACCAATATATGAACATTAAATCAAGATAATTATACATTCCCTTTCCTTAAAACTTTATCATTCTGGAAAGTAGAAAAAGACAAGATCTCCTGAGTAAATTGGGAGCATGGGGATCTTGAGAGAGGGTTGAAGGGGAGGGGAGAACAGGGAGGGGAAGAGAGAAAAATGTAGAGTTCATGGGCTGGAGAGATGGCTCAGTGGTTAAGAGCATTGCCTGCGCTATCAAAGGTTCTGAGTTCAATTCCCAGCAACCATATGGTGGCTTACAACCATCTGTAATGAGGTCTTGTGTCCTCTTCTGGTCTTCAGGCATACATACAGACAGAACATTGTATACATAGTAAATAAATAAATATTTTTTAAAAAAATTAAAAAAAAAGAAAAATGTAGAGTTCGTTAAAAATCAATTTTAAAAAAAACTGCAGACACTCAAAGGCAGCGGTGAGAATTCACAGAATTCTGGGTATGAAAACCTTATCTCCCCATTACCACCTCTTTGTTTTTACATTTTTCACCTATTGCTAGCTCAGTTATTCATTAGTTTTCATAACTTAATAAAACAGTATTTTCTAATTAAAAAAAAAGCTTTATCATTCTTTGTTGTTGGATCTAATTCTTTACAGAGTATAAAATTGTTAGTATAGTAGCACTGATGTGCTGTAGAACACTAGAACTTATTTCTGCTAACTTTAGACGGTGATACATCCAACATGCTTCTGTCACCTTCCTTCCTTAGTGCTCACTATTCTCATCCTCTTTGTCATCACATGTCACCCTTGACTTGCTATGTAGCTCAGACTGGCCTTGAACGTTTTTTAAAATTGTCATTTATTACGTGTAGCTTGGGGGTATTATACAAGTACAGTTTGCCTGTAGAGGTCAAGAGCCAACTTCACTGTTACATGGCTCAATAGTTAAGAGCATTCGTTTTTCTTGCAGATGGCCCAGATTTAGTTCCCAGTACCACATGTTGGCTCACAATCATCTTAACTCCAGTTCCAGGGGACCTGGTGCCTGACCTCTACAGGCACCAAGCATGCATGAGGTACACGTACATATATGCAAGCAGAACATTCATACAAATAAAATAAGTCTTTCAAAATTATTAAATAAATAAAACCAGCCAGGAGGCATAGTCACTATGACCAGCTGAGAGCTTATGGGCTTCTTGAAGGTTTAGGGGAAATGGGAAAACAACAGGGGTATCAAAGCAAAGACTCAGAAAAGAGGCCCTTCCCTTTCATAGAAAGAGCCTTACATGGGGTGCCTGGAAACAGCAGGTTCAGATTTCAGAGTAAATTATGAGATTTAGACCAGGTGGTGGTAGCACACGCCTTTAATCCCAGCACTAGGGAGACAGAGGCAGGCAGATCTCTGTAAGTTTGAGGCCAGCTTAGTCTACAAAACAAGTTTGAGGATAGTCAGCCATTACACAGAGAAACTCTTGTCTCAAAAAACCAAACACAAAAAATAAGAGAGAGAGAGATTTAAAGATCACCAATACTTATACACATTATAACTCTGCTTCTAGAGGAGGTACAGAAAGTATGCTGCTTACCTAATAACCTAAACAGAAGCTGCTTAGTGGCAACTTGGTAATTGAAAATGTTGACTCCTTGGTTATTATTCACCCCAAGGCGAGCCCCAGATCGAACGATGGCACGGCACAAGTTGGCATTCCCTTTCATGTATGCTAAGAGCAGCACTAGAAAACAAAACCACAGGTAAGGCTGTTTCCCACCAGTCCTAGCTGGCTACTGCCAAAGGGCAGGCAGAGCAGAACATTGGCAGGACATAGTATGCAGACATGAAGGAGTCTGAAGTGCTAGTCAGAAATTCTATATAGAATCTGGTAGTTTTCCAAAAAAGGTTCAGCCAGAAGCCAGGTGATACTAGAGTTGAGGTTTGTATACTGTAGGGATTCAACACAGGAAAAAACCAGTTTTCTCAGTTGCCCTTCCCAGTCAAAAATAACTGCTTTTTACCACTAAAGACAAAGCTCTTTCCAATGTAACTTAAATATAAAGACTTGTGATTTCGGTACATAGAAAGAAGTAAAATTATATAGACAACATGTTCCAGAATGTTCTTCTATCCAAAGGAGGCTCTCTTTGTGAAATGCTGGCCCAGCAGGAAGCCAAGCTCTAACCTAGCTAATCTGTGTTTCTCTGCAAAGTTACAACTAGTAGCAGCTCCTCTGGCTTCCCCCTAGCAGACACTTCATTAAATTTTTAACTCAAAATGATGCAGTAACATGAGGGCTCTTAATTCCAGTATCAAATGAAGATATGGGTATAAGGAGGCTAAGAATTTGCCCAGTCGCCTTACTAAAATACAACACAATGAGAAAGACACTTGAAACTAAGTCTCCATGAATCAGAAGAACCCTGGACATGAAGTCTCTTCCTTCATGCCTCTTAAACTAAAACCTGGGCAAGTAGTTTAAGTAGATTGATTTCAAAAGCAAGTTAAAAACACACTGGAGAGGCCTGCTTATTATCCTTTTAAAGAAGGCACCTAGGTAGAATGTGCTACTTCTTCAAAGCCTGTCACAGGTACTGAGATATTTCCTATAGCCCGAGTCTTGGTTATATCTTATCTCTGCTGAAACGGGAGCATGGAAGGGTTCTGGTTAACTGAATAAAATGCAGACAAGGGCAATTACAACTGTAAAGGTCTCCTTGGTCAAAGGTATGAGGTTCTGGAGTACCTGAAGCACTTCAGATGTCAGATACCAGATTCCATACTAGAGACCTTCAACAGATGCTGAGTCAGATAGCTTATTTGCATACCTGTGTTGCCTTCTGCATCTGGTTTGTCCAGAGGATACTCAGGCATGCACTCTAAGAAGAGATCAAAGATGGCTGCTGCATTTTCTTTGCCATATTGTCCCAGAATGTGTAGTGGTGATTGGCCTCTGCAAAAGTTAGACATTTATCTGTCACAACTGTCACACCAAAGAAGGAATTTTCTGAACTCTATGATCTTAAATCTAAAGAATATATAACAGACAAAAGTATAACTAACAAAATCAAAATTAGCAGAGAAACAAAAGCTACTCAGGTGCACTAGGGGCTTGGGGAGGCAATGGGCTAGATCACCAGGTACCCTGGCCTATGCCTGGGACCAGTCATACTCACCTCAGATTAAAGGCTTCAGCATCCACTGTGCACTCTGTCAGAAGAGCTCGGATGTTGTTCAGCCGACCATGCATGACCGCAAGATGAAGAGCTGGGGAGAAAATCCTCTTACTTTGCAAGTCCAGAAGCAAACAGAGAAAGCTCTGTCTTCTTCCCACCCCATCTAAATGCACTCAGTGACCCGCCAAGTACAGAGCCATCCTTTCATATCCTCTCCCTTCACCACCATGAGTCATTAGTGCAATCTTGTAAGCCATGCCTTCTATGCTGGTGGTAGTTTCAAAGATGAAATTTAATGGCTTCACAGAAAGCTACTTCTGTCTGTTTCCTCCCAGTCTCTTACTGTCTGAATGAGAATGGCCCCCATAGGACCATATATTGGATGATTCTATATTTGGTACATTTAGTGTAGCTGTTTGGGAACGATTAGGAGGTATGGCCTTGTTGGAGGAGGTGTGTCACCGAAAAAAGCCCATGCCATTCCCAGTTAGCTCTCTTTCTTTTTGCCTCATGATTGTGGCTTAGATATAAGCTCTCAGCTACTGCGTGCTTGCCTATCTGTTGCCATGCTCCCGGCCATGATAGTCATGGTGCATTGTCAGAGCAGTAAAAAAAGACAGACAGACAGATAGACACACATACACACACACACAGAGAGAGAGAGAGAGAGACAGAGAGAGAGAGAGAGAGAGAGAGAGAGAGAAAAGCAAAAGGGCCTCATAGACCACTGGGTAAAGGTACTTGCCACCAAATCCGAAGACCTAAATATAATCCCAGGACCCGCATGTATGAAAGAACTGACTCCTGTAAATTGTACTCTAGAAATGTACATAAAGAAAAAACAAACAAACAAACAAACTAAAAGAAGTCATTGGGCTCTAGAGATGGTTCAGAAGTTCAGAGCATACATTGTTCTTGCATTAGACCTTAGTTCAATTCCTAGCACCCAACAGCCTATAACTCCAGTTCCTGAGAATCCAACACCTCTGGCCTTTGAGGATACTGGCACTCACATACACATTCCCTTACATAGACCTAAGGTTTTCTGTTTGTTTGTTTGTTTTGTTTTTTTCCAAGACAGGGTTTCTCTGTAGCTTTGAAGCCTGTTCTGGAACTAGCTCTTATAGACCAGGCTGGCCTCGAACTCACAAGAGATCCACCCGCCTCTGCCTCCCAAGTGCTGGGATTAAAGACAAGCACTACCACCACCTGGCCATAAACCTAATTTTAAGTAATTTTTAAAAAATCTTTTAAAAAATGAAATTGAAAACTGAGCACTTTAGACTACCAGGGTTATGATTAAATTGAGAAGCTGTTTAGTGGCAGGACGTGTCCAGAGCTCTGTTCCTATACAAGCCAACCTTCCTGAGAGGGAGCAACTCAAGGGTGCATTGTAATTCCACTAAAACAGGACTGCTCAAGCACACACACTGTACATAATGTGATGCCTAGGAATTACCATTATTTCCATTCTCATCCACAGCAGCAAAGTCCACTCCATTCTCTAGGAGGACTGAGCAGATGGTGGGCAGGTCCTGCTGGGCAGCAAGATGGAGGGCGGTCTGGCGATGCTTGGTTAATTCATTCACCTTGGCTCCTGCAAGAAGCTGTTAAAGTTGATTACTCAATCGGCCTCTTATAGCTTAGGGTACTATTAGTATGTCCAAGTCTACAGGTATTCTCTTATCTCAGTCTACTCTCCTGGCAGAGCTTGAATGCATGAGGATCTTGCAGAAATTCCTACTGAGGCAAACACAGGAAAACCTGTGCCAAAGGCAAATTATCTACCGGTATGTTCAATGATTATTCATTAGGACATAGTAAGAATGTCCATACTGCTTGTAATTCTCAAGTTTCAAAATTCCCCTATATAATAAAATACCCACATACATTCTATCTAACCAACACACCCTTTCTTTCTCAGGCTTGTTCCCTATCTGACACATGGTGCTAGAAAATCAGACTTTGAGTTAAGCTCAAATCTAGTTATATGAATCACTATATAAGAGCCTAGGGGAATTCTTTTTAACCTCTCTTTATTATAAATGTATAAAATTTTCCTTGGGAGTTTTGAGAATTAAGAGACAGCTCATTTAAAAGTCTGAGCTAATCTGGAAATTGTGGAACTTGGAAGGCTGAGGCAGGTGGATCTCTGTTAGTATGAGACCAGATTGACCTGCATAGAGAGTTCTAGGTCATCCACACTAGCAGGATGGGAGAAAAAAGACAAACACAGAAAAGGAAGGATGGATGGAGGAAGGGAAGGAGGAAGGGTAAAAGTCTCAGCTGAGAGCCTGATAGTAGGCAGACAACATAGTTGACCTCTGGTCCCTTTCTGTTGTCTGTCAAATCCTCCTTGGCCCTCAAGGCCTAACTCCAGCATCTCTAGGTCTATGTCCAGCATGTGCACTAGGGCGCTTAGGACCTACAATCTCCTGACACATCTGTCTTCCTGGTTTGGTTCCCCAGATTCATGCTTTTCATTCACAACAGCTCCAAGGATAACTTTTGCACATAACCCCAAGCATGCTTCGCTTCATGTTTCCCTGTGGCTTACCAGATTTCGGACAATGATCTCTGAGCCTGCTTGAACAGCAAGGTGCAGAGGGGTCAACTTGGAAGCATCCTGGACTCTGGAATTCACATTGGCCTGGACACTGATCAGGAATAAGACACTTTCGATGTCAGAGTTCTGAACTGCCACATGAAGAAAATTCCGACCTTTATTATCTACCTACAACAACAAACAAGTAAGAACCACACTATTAGCCAGTTCCCTTAAAAAATGGGATCCTCCTGATGTCCACAAGCTGAGCGGGTCACTGGAGAAGTCATGAACCACCCTTCCTCAGTTCCAGAGCTCCAACAGTAAATGCCACCCTACCCCTATAACAACCATGTATACACATGCACATGATCAGAAGGGACTGCTATCCTGGCACCTTCCTATAGTAGGAACTGGCCATGGGAAGCCAAGAAGGAACTAGCTGAAAAACAGAGAAAGGCACTTGAGTGGATGGGGCTGTTCAGGAAGAAGCAAATGTGATGATTAGCTACAAGGCCTCTGCCTTGACCAAACCAAATAACCATCTTGGATCCCTGAGCAGCCAAACAGGCTTCAGAAATTTTCTTAAGCTTTAGAGTAATACATAATGAGAGGCAGTTGCCAGACAAGCTCCACCATGTACTATAGTTAGAGGAAATCATCAGTACATCATTAGAACCACTGCTGAAGGGAGGACATGCTCCAAACTCCGCATTACCACCACCCACCACCCAGTCTACTGTGTGTGCTGGCATAAATCAAATTTGCAAAGAACTCAGATCAGAAGTACCAGTTTCATTCTAGATGGAGAACCCAATTCATGACTATCTTACACTCAGTCTGAGCATGGGCAAAGTTAAAAGCTATACATCCAGTCACACTTAAGAAAATGATAAAGAAAGGCAAGGTACCAAAGCCTGTGCTAAGAAAACAGTCATCTTCATGCCAGGACTGCATTTCATTCAGGCCCAATGTCTCAATTCATCATCATAAACAGTTACTTCTAAATCTTAGCAAAATTCTACAAGCTGGCTGGAATCAGGTTTCTGTGAGACTGACCTGACAAACCCATTCCAGCTTTCACCACACATCAATCATTATTATCACTTCCCACCCACAGTAGTAACCAGGATCTAAGAGATGATAAATAAATGCCAAAGAACAAGGAAAATGCATGCACTCAGTAACAATGCCTCTAAAGCACTCAGAAAGCTGCCCAACAACCCAAGTACCTCAAATTCAATTTTTGTATTTTAGAGGCTTTCATTACTAGAGCATCCAGCAAATGCAGAGAGCGAGCCAAGCTGCATACCAACAGAATTCTAATTCCAGGCCATCATGAGAGTTCCCTTCCCCAGCCATGTCCACATCACCAGGTCATGCTTCAGCCATCAGACACAGGACAAGAGAACAGCTAACTTTTTCAGAAAAGGGGGAATTTAATTTTTAAAACAAGTGTTTTTGTGTAGAGGGACCTATTTAGTTAGTGGCATCTGGTTAATCTCCATATGAGACATCCTGCTGTGGTAATGGTGGTGGTTGGTAACTGACCTGCTCGGCAGCCCCAGACTCTCGTTTTAGAATGGCTTCGGCTGCCTTATTGTTCTTGTAAGTCATGGCACAGGCAAAAGGGGTCAGCCCTTGTCTGTCTCGTACACTCAGCTCAATGTTAGGGTGAGAAATCAACAGCTGAATGATGACGCTATGCTGGTTGCTGATAGCCACATGGACAGGTGTTCTTCCTTCTGCATCCTACGGAGAAAAGGTACAAATTCCTGTGTCTAATGAAAAAGATAAAACTCAGGAACAATATGATGGTAGGTAACTTTTAAAATAAATTTCAGTTATGAGACCCTGTGTTTGAGATCATGTAGTATACTTACATACATGCAGGCAAAACACTCATACATATAAAAGTAAGTCTTAAAACAATATATTAGGAACAGTGCCTGAAACCCAAGGTTGTCTTTTTGCCTGCCTATACACAGACAGACAGACACGCGCAAGCCCACATATACACTCACTTCACAGGTCTAAATGCTGAAAAGCATCAGTGAGCTAATTAATAGGACACAGTCCTATTAACAGTCATTAATCCTCAGTGTGAGACTAATCCAGATCTGTGCAGAAATCTTTAAGGGCTAAGAAGCAAGGTACAACAGATAAAACAACCTTCTTTATGTTGAAGAGTAAGGCACAGAGAATTAACCTGAAATCAATTCAATTACCAGACAGCCTAAATGACTCAAGAAAGTCACTATCTGCCATAATAAAGCCCAGTTTGTAAAACAGAAGTCTAGAATTGGGGAATGTATAAGGTTCCTTGCCACAAGAAAAGATTCCTCCAAGTTTACCTCCCCAGAAAATAAAAACTGTATACCTGTGCATTGACATTGGCACCAAATTCCAAAAGACATTGAACTGTCTCTTCTAGTCCCCATGAAGCTGCCAAATGCAGAGGGGTCTGCCCATCTCTTGCCTCTTCCTCTCCTTCTCCATCAGTACCTGGTTGTCTGGGACTGTTCACATCACAGCCACTAAAACAGGGAAACAGAAAGTCACCATCCATCTTGCCTAGCACTTTACCCACTTTAACAACAAAACCATTACAGCCACATTCTGCTAGCCCTGGTCCTTGGCATCAAGTTCTAGGGTCTGGGTAGCGCCACTGCCATAGCCTCTCTTGTAATTGGTTTTAGGGGCAACAAGGGAATCAGAATTGTTGCAGACTTCCTAGGGATATTCAAACATTGAGAAACACTATTTGTAAAGTTTCCCAAATTACCTTGCCTCCTCATATCCTGCTCCCTAAGAGGGCTACAAACTTTTACATAAAGTTCATGTGTTGTGGTGGGGCCCAGAAGAGCCCATATGGTCTCAAGCTAGCCTCCTGACTTCACAGTGGGAACTGGTCTGAAAGTAAAAGGGGTCAATGCAATTCCCAAAGGAGAAGATGATCCAGGATGTGAGCCCCTCCCTCCTCCACAGCTTCCTTGGTTCTTAGCTGACTTGACATGATAGAACAGTGCCTGTTGATAATCTTAATTATGAAAGTCAAAGCCAGCTATAGGCATGTCAAAACTAAGGTACTAAACATAAGAAAGAGGTGACTGGCAGTAAGCAGAATAAGAGAGAGATACTTTGGCTTCTCAGACCTGCGAATAAGAAAGCAGGCAGTGGACTCATTGTTTTCATCAATGGCTCTGTGCAGAAGTGTCTGAAGACACCCACTGGGTCCTGGGCCCCAGCATGTGGCATCACAACCATGTCTCACCTGCAGAGAAACATAATTTTCTCACAAACATTGTTGAGCAAAAATAAAAATGTTTATTTTCAATTCTGAGCAATATGTGTATTACTTTTCAGATATATAAACAAACATGCTTATAAACATGTTTTATAAACACTGATTAAAATCTGCTCTTTGGGAACTGACTCATTGGTTAGGAGCACTGGCTGCTTTTCTTTCTTTTTTTTGGTTTTTTAAGACAGGTTTCCTCTGTAGCTTTAGAGCCTGTCCTGGAACTAGCTCTTGTAGACCAGGCTGGCCTCGAACTCACAGAGATCCGCCTGCCTCTGCCTCCCGAGTGCTGGGATTAAAGGCGTGCACCACCACCGCCTGGCCACTGGCTGCTTTTTTAGAGGATACAGCTTTGATTTCCAGTCTCCACACAATGGCTCACAACCATCAGGAACTCCAGTTCCAGGGGATCTGATGCCCATTTCTGGCCTCTATGAGCACCAGGCATGCAAATGGTGCACAAACATACATGCAGGCAAAACACCATACACATTAAAAAATTAAATATAATCTGCTCTGTGCAAATTCTTAAACTATGTCCTATGGACATGGTTTTCAGAAGTACATATTAGTGCCTCTTCAGTTGTGTTCTACTAAGGACAGTGCCTGCTTCTATGTGTACTCCAAAGTCCTCTAGCAACATACACCTGTAATAAGTAGGTAATCCCTCAAAAAAAGTTGATAATACTGATGCCCACAGCATCAAATCAGCCCCCATCAGGAGACTTGAGGCAATCCCTCCATTCTAATACTCCTCTGTGGTTTTCTCTTATGAAAACAGACCAGAGAGAAGTACTGGCCAGCTCCAAGTACTACCCTCCCTTCCAGCCCAGACAGGGGGTCTCATTGTATAGTCCTGGTTAGTCCGGAACTTGCTTTGTAGCGTAGGCTGACCTTGTACTCTCAGAGATGCCATAGCTTTTAATCCCAACTCAGTGCTGGAATTAAAAGTGAATATACCACACCTAGCTGAGCTTCAGACTTCATTAGACTTATTTTATTTTTATGCATACGCGTGTTTTTCCTGCACGTATGTCTGTATATCACACACATGCCTGGTGCCTACTGATGTCAGAAAGAGGCATCAGATTCCCTGAACTGGAGTTAGGATTGAGTCAAATCTGGGTCCTCTGTGAGAACAAGTGCTCTTAACTCATGTCTCCAGCCCTCTAATCTTGGACTTGTTAATGTAATTTCCACTGTTTGTCCTTGACCTGGCTTGTTACTTGGCTGACATCTTGCTCCTATGGCAGAAACAAATCCATCTTTGACACGACATATCCTCATCTGTGAGCAGAGGCTCTGCTATCTATGACTCACCAGAGTGGAAGCGATGTCCTCCAGATTACTTGCCAAGGCAAGCCACAGTGGTGGGTTCCCTTTTTCATCTGGCACAGACATGTCAGCTCCTCGGGTACATATGGCATCAACTACTAGTGGAAGCTGATTTTTGATAGCCAGCTGAAGGGCAGTCTCCCCATCCTGAGTCCTACCAAGACATAACCACTATAATCAAAACCAATGTTGTAAAAACAGCCAAAGAAAACAGCACTCTCCAGGTTTTCCAAAGTCAAGACGCCACTGGCAAATATACAGGGCTGGAGATATAGCTTGGTTGTAGGAGTGTTTGTGCAGCATTCATGAAGTCCTGGGCTTGGTCCCCAGCACAAATGCCTGCAATCCTAGTACTTGGAAGAGGTGAGTAGAATGATGACCTCAAAAATTTAAGATCATCCTCAGCTACAGAGAGTTGGAAGCCTGCGATACACAAGCCTGTTTCAAAAGAAAAACAACAAACCCACTTTATTCCCCCACTCTGTAATTCAGTGTCACTTGACACTGGAAATCCAGAAAGGATCCTATGAATACACAATGAAGCTGGCAAGATGGCTCAGCAGATCTATCACCAAGCCTAACACATGAATCTGATCTTCAGAACACAGTGGAGAGAGAAGAGACTCCCATAAGTTCTCTGACCTTTGCATGTACACTGTGGCAGAGGTGGGTACATAACACATACTAGATAAATATATGAATTTAAAACTTAAAGGTTGTTTCTTCTTTAAACCTTGTTGCCTAGTTGATGAGGTGGCCTTTGTTGCAACTGAAATTCCTATTAAAGATTGATTTTTGGATTCTTTATGATGTGATTTGTATGATTTTATACATTGGTCCTGAAAGTTACCAATAAGGAAAGAGTACAATTTGGCTATGACTATAAATGTCTACCAGTCATACTCACTTATAACCAAGTTTGTACTTTTTGTTAGAGGACATGAATTAGGGACTGACCTTGGGGCATTAGAGGTATTTAGCAAGTGTTCTGCTACCATCCCGTTTTTGTATAATCTCCCTTTTGACATCCTGGGATTGGATATAGAGGTCAAGTACATCAGGCAAGCAGGAAACAGAGTACTGGTTCCTACCCTTTTATATTTTGTTTTTAGGGACAGGGTCTCACTGTGTAGACCAAGCTAGCCTTAAATGCATGGAGATTTGCCTGCTTCTTCCTCTGGAGTGCTAGGATTAAAGACGTATGCCACTATACTCAGTTCCTAGCCTTTCTTAAAATTTTCACTTTGAGACAGTCTTTCTAATTTGCTCAAGGGCCCTTGAATTATCCTCTTGCCTTAGACTCCTAAGCAGCTGGAATTGTAAGTATGCACCGCCCAGGCCTGACTCCTTTTATACATTCTGAGAGCCACTGTTTCTTTTCCTTTATGTAGTAAGGAATTAAAAAAAACAAAACAAACAAACCCATTCCCATCTAAAAGCCAGGATCTGATTCTGAAGCATCTTAATTAAATATGAGATGACTGGGAGTTACAAGGGAGCATGCCACTCCATCCCACCTGACATTTATATCGGCTTGGTGCTCCAGGAGGAAGAGTGCACTCTTGCTGTCCTGCCGCCGTATAGCCATGTGCAGCAAAGTCTGCCCATCTGACATGGTGTCATTGATAGATGCTCCGGAACCCAGAAGCTGGGCAGCGATTGTGTGCATGCCTGGGAAATAAAAACATCCAATTCATGCATACTTGGCTTCCATTTCTCTGACAGACCCGCCAAGCTTCTCAAAGGTGGAAAGTTTCCAGTGAATATAACAGACAAAAAAATATTTTATGACAAAATCAATAGCCCCACCATGTCACCCTGCCCTCCTCTAGTCTACCCACCTACTCACCTCCTATCTGAGAATCAACAGCCTTTGTATAACTCACCAGTCCATAACGCCAGGCCTAGCACAGTTTGGTCTCTGGAGTCCTTGAGGCTGAAGTCCGGAATAATTTGTAAGTTGTTGGTGGCATGAAGAGCATTGGCTAAATGTTTAAAAAAAAAAAAAAAGAAAAGAAAACAAATTGCTTTCACTATCCTATGGCTGACAGAATCACTTTTTTTTTTCCTTTTTTTCATCAAGGTGGAGGAAGAAAATAGGGTCTCACTGGTAGCCCTGGTTAGCCTCAAATTTCTTGCAATCTTCTTGTCTCCAACTCCTGAGTGCTGGGATTATAAACATGAGCCACCACACGTGGCTCCTCAGATCACATTTAAGGCATTCAAGAGGATAAGACTCACTTATAAATTAACTGACTGGTCAGAAATACAATTGCTTTTCAAAAGGAGTAAATTGATAAGATTTGGGGAAGGGAAATCCAGAGACCTGTTATGTTTGGAGCAAAATT